TATATATATAATGAGTTTTTACCCCACCTTCTTCCGACTATGCAGCATCACGATATAATAAAAAGTTAAACAATTTTGGCGATAATGCTTCAAGTTAGGCCGCTTTTCCGATACACTTCAACACCAGCGTCAATATTCTTGCACACTGATTCGATTTCGATAAGCCGGTGTTAATGAGGCTTTAAACGTTAGCCAGCAAGCTGAAACAGTTACCCTAACCAGATTTTGAAACCGTGACATTTTAATATATTATGTACATTAACCAATTCGGCCACTGGTACAAATCGAATTTGGTAGCAACTAATGTTACGTAATTGTGAGCAGGTGTAGAATGCAAGATACTTTTTGAATGGATCACGATAAAACAAAGAACTCTGTTGACGGTGTACTGTATTATGAAAAAAAAATTGAATAAATAGGTTGCCGCAATTGCAAAACGTTTTTGTCACCAATTTATACGGTTCTGTTATAATCTTTCACATACTCAGTTCCTTCTATCACGAAAATTATTAGTAGTAATACAACATACGTCTAAACAGATGTTCAAATCTGTAGCACGATAGGGACTTCCAATGAATACAGAATTTGAATGAACAGATGCTACCTGATTTTCCCGCATCTGATATTAAGTGATGGTTACCCATCCTTTAAGCAGTGGGTCTTCGATTGTCATATTGTTTCAAATCAATATGAGGCTGGTTAATTGCATAATAATTATTTTGGAACCTCATTTCTTAGACATTTTTAACGAGTATGGTGACAACGAGAGGGGCCTCAACGTATTCAATTGCGGCATTGTCTTGATTATTATGGACATTTGTTGTAAATAATTTTTTATTGATAAATTATTAATATGGTTTGTTTGAAAAATGCACATATTTATTTGTCATTGCAAGCTTTGTAATTTCTTTGCTTTTATTGGAGATAATACATCTTATCTTGTATGTATTCTTACTGGAATAACAATTCGATAACATATTACCTGTATAATTGTAAACAAATTATTAACTTTCAGGACTGCTAAGAAAATTAAATAACTGATTAACATGAGGAATAATAATGTTAATTTCCTTTATATTTGCATTACCATATATGGATTTTATGATCAACATTTTCGACCAAGCTACTGGCACAGCGGGAGGCACGCTGTCCGTAGGCTGGCATTTTCGGGTTAAATCGCCAATTTTTGTGTTTACATCGTCCGTTCTCCACTACCTGTTGTCAGATAATTCTGTACTTTTGATATGTTATAGTTTAGTTATTTAGGCAACTTGTTGTTTTTATTTGAATTTCAAAAGCTTAAAAAAGTCCCTGTCTTTTTTCATTTTTCGTAAGCAACTACAATGACTGTAGCCCGTGTAAAAGGCCATTTTTCTCGATTTTCGGAGGGTTCTGTTGTCTTCAAATCGCTTTGTTGAGTATTCACTATTATGAAAGCTTCTTGTACACCTGCTAGAAAGAAAAATTATTATTCATAGCTTCTTTTGATGTAAGTTTTATTTTGATTGGTTGAAAAAAGGATCTGTCATTTTACAAATTACCGTATGAAAGGAGGGTGGGAATGGTCAGTTTTCCATAAATGCATTTTGCATTGAGCCAGGATAGGCGAGCGCTATGGTTTAGGTGAAACCTGTAACGTTTTGTCAGAATATCGAATAATTCATTAAAGTATTTCATTAAATATTTGTATTTTTTTTTTATTAATCTTCAAAGTACATGATAAACAAAGATTTGTATCTTGGTGTATAATAATGATCATAGAAGAATGTTTAAAATGTGTTGGTGTCCCAGCATCTGTACTGTACATCGTTGGCGTTGATTCTAGACAGGGTAACAGTTTATTGATAACATTCTATAGCAGTGTTATGTGCAGTAGGAATATTTGTGATTGGTTAGGCGTGTTTTTTATGATTTGCTTATGTATATTATTTTGTTAGATTTTAAACGCTATCAATATGGTCACTATAGCTGCCCGTGTTCGCTGCTGGTAAGATATTATTCCTGAGTCTATAGTTCTGTGCAAGGATGACTCATGTGTAGCCGATATTGGGAATCAAGGCATCAGCGCGAAGGATTAAAATTGCATTTTCTGGTTGCAAAATACCCTACATAAGATCGATATAAGTGTATCTCTTTTCCATTGTCCCTCACTAAGAAAAAAGACAGGTCGTGTTTGAAATTAATTATTTAATTTCAAACACGATATATATATATGTATATATATGTATATATATATGTATATATACATATATATAACTATATATATATATATATATATATATATATATAAATTTATTGGTAGTAATACGACTTGTATTACTATTTTGTTGGGGTCATGGTAGAAGCGTCCTCGTCGCGGCCCCGGATAACGCTATTTCTACCCACCACCACACACAAGATCAAGTCAACATCTACTTGGATCATTGACAGAGTACAATGATTGTGTTTTTGGCTGAAACAAAGCATGGAAGTCCTCCATGAACAAAATAGCTAGCATTTGTGTGGACTTAAGAAGAAAACTACTTAGTTGTGTAGCCATATTTGAGGCCACCTTAATACAACATTAGCAGCTACTTTGATTGTGAGATTGTGTATTGTGACTAATAGTATCTCAATCCATCTGCGGGGGCACCAAAACACAACACTGTCGATCAATGTCTGAACATAAAAACCAATAAACACGCTTTTACGTCAATGGAATTGGAGTCACGTGATGATTGATCCAATTGTATTCTTCTGAATTACAGGTTCAGATTATTGCCAATCAAAGTTACAAGATAATATAGACATTTCTTGAGTAGTTCTCAAAAATAATGTATATCTTTGCTGTCTTGCTTTCTTTCCTTTTCTATTTTAAATTCGGTATTTCATTTTCCAGTACCGGGCGGTACATTGTTGTTCCACAACATGTGTTACTAGGCTGGATGTATGAGTTAGAGGACATTGATCGCATTCAATGTTTGTTGGCTTGTTCAAGGAAAATTTACTGTTTTTCGGTAAATTACAATCGGAAAAGTGAAGTTTGTCAGATAAACAAGCAAATGCGGGATGATGCAACTGGAGATTTCCTAGTAAATTCTTCCTACGAATACATGGAAAAGGTAAGCAACTAGTAATAGTTGAATAAGTTACTACTTTTAGGAAGCATCTACCTGTTTACGGTCAGGTACGTGCACAATAAGCGCCTCACCAAATATCGCTTGGTAAAAGAACAATATTTAGTTTTTAATAAGATCTGCAGGGCAAAATCTAGAGTACAATCATTGACAAAAGTGCTTTTTTGTTTTAAATAATTTGGAAGAAAGATATAATCCAACAAGTCTGATAAGCTATGCACAACACTTGTGTCGTTTTAAAACATCAATAAGTTGCAATAAGGGCATCTAAAGTATCTAAAAATGTATAAGCACTGCGGAACTCTTTTGGGTTATTTACGTTAAAAGGTCAACACCAATCGTTTGATTTCTTTATAACAAATTTTCCTGACTAAATTAACTCATTCGGAACTAGTGGATATAAAAAATTATCATTGACACCATTATTTAATTAATCTACAATAGCAATCTTTACTCAAAGCCTACAATGACGACACAACATATTATTTCATCCGTACTTTAGAATGGAATGAACAATATTTCTTATAACTGTGAGTCTAATAATAAATTATGTAAAAAAAAACCCAATTATTTCTTCTCCAGATGAAGTCTACCCTGCCCCCCCCCCTCCCACCGCACTGGAGACACTAGACACTCCCGACCAATACCCGAGCAATTAAATCATTGAAGTTATTTAATCCATTCGGATTTGATTATATTTCTTCAATGTAAAATACTCAAAGAATAGTCCACGAAATGTTGTTAGAAATCTGAGCAGTTCTGTGTAGTGCAGGCAATATACAGGGACCAACTCTCTGTTATGGTTATCATTGTCGTTATCGGTATGATTATAATTATTGTTATCGTCACCGTTGCCGTCACCGCTGTCATCATCATTATAGGCCTTATTATTTCATTATTTATAATGTAGTTATAAATATTTAATTATTCTGTTATAAATACTATCATTAATAATAATTATTATTATATAAATAAATATCATTAAGTGGTTTATTAGCATTAATTGTTAGCAAATAAATGGATTAGAAAAACATACGTAAATTGTATTTACAATAGTTGAACTTGTTTACACGTTTTCCCCTTATTATATAAGACCAGAGGTCCTTACTCTGTCTGGCTGTTTACTTCTACATTGTAGTTGCTGCTTATCTGATTTTCACTTCTTTCCTGCACCTCCATGTTTCTCAAAGCAAAGTGTATAAATCTAGTATTATCATCATTTATTGATAGCATGTTTGTATTGTTCAAATTTTCTCACACGAATAAGATAGACGAACTGCACTGATTAAAGAAAACTTGATTTCTTGCTTCAAACAATTGGTATCCATTCGTAGAAGTCTTATGAATATAATTAAGCCTATCCAATGTGAACATAAAAGGGTCGGGGACCAGGACATACCTTCGATTTTATATTGACAAAAAGATAGAAAAATATTAAATATTAAATACTGAAACGATCTATACATAATAGGCCTTAAAACGAAAATAAGTGTAATTTAAACATCGCCTAATGAAGGTATGATCCAAGTATTCTGTTAATTACGAACAAATAAAATGTAAAATAAAAGGAATGAGGAAGAATAAGAAGAATAGAAAACCGTAGCGGCTAAAATATTTTCCGAAAATAAACAATATATAGTATTGATTGTATAAAAAATGAATAAAGACGCAGAATTTTGAGATTGCACGGGCTTTTAGTGGTATGCTAGATACAAGATACAAGTCAACCTTATTGTCAAAATAATAAATTATGAGGTATTTGTTGTACATAACATAGAATTGTTCATAAATGTGATAAATGTTAAATTATATTAATTATTAGTAAATAAAAATTTGAAGCTTGTTTATCTCCTGAAATTTTGATTAAATAAATTACATGCAATGTACAATGCTGAATGTCTGAAACGGTTTGTAGATATTTTGTGTTGTTCAAGTCTAACCCTTCCGGATCTATTTACGATAATATCTGAGTATAATGGATGGGATGAGTCTTGCATAGTTGAATTATTAAAAATTCGTGCAACCAATAAATATCATTAAAAAAAAACAACAGATTTTGCCTCATTTTTCTTTTCGTCATTATTGCTTACATGGCATCGACTTATAATTTTATATATATATAGGGCCTATGTATATATGTATATAAGACTACCTCTCCCTCCAAGAAGACCCATCGATTAAAGAATTATTATATATGTATATAAGACTACCTCTCCCTCCAAGAAGACCCATCGATTAAAGAATTATTTTTACAGTCCCCTCTACTCGCACGTAGGCAACCTCCTAATGGTGTACGGTAAAATGGCCCCGGTAAAAATGGCCCAGGTAGAAATGTCCCCAAATAACTGGTAGGTAAAATTGGCCCCAAATAATAAATTCTGTATTAAAACTGATTTTTTAAAAATCATTATATGCATTTTTTTTAAACTGAAATAATTTAGTTTTCAAAAAAATCTAACATCTAATAAATAGCCATTTATATTTTACTTTTTGCAGGAATTACATATTCAAAGATAAAAAAATATACCATGAATAACACTTTTTATTTTTTTTCCATTTAAATGTTAAAAAATAGCAACAATTTTAATCATAAATTGAATTTATTAATACTAAAATAATTTATTTGTGGCCAATTTCACGGAAGCGGAATCACATTTTCCCAGAAATTCAATCGGGATATTGCTAAACCCCGCAAAAATGGGTTTATATGAACATTAAATAATTTTTTTTTTACAAAAAAAAATCTATTGATTAATCAATCTGCTAAAAACTAAGTTATTTTAGTTTTCAAATATATGGTTTCTGTGTCATTTCTATTAATGAATTTTTTCATTGGGGCCATTTTCACCTACTTGTCATTTGGGGCCATTCTCACCGGGGCCATTTTTTCCTACATCCCCCCTATTAAAGTCCACTTTAACCTACTCCCTCCACTAAACCTGTTCCAGCGACCTCCAGTTCTATATATATATGTATATGTATATATATATATGTATATGTATGTATATGTATATATATATGTATATGTATATATATGTATATATTTATATATCTATAATATAATTATATATGTAATTACAATTAAACCATGATAAGGTGTTGGCAAAGTTATTATGTAAGCGATAGTTTATTGGCGGTGCTATTGAACCAGCTTAATCTAAGATTTTAATAGAGAGTAATTTAACTACAGTAAACAGAACAGGAAATAAAATATAGTAAGATTTATATAAGGTCCTATATAATTAAAACAATTGTGGAATAGAAAATAAATTGTAGAAATATAAAGGTATTATGTATGAGTTTAAATAATATAACGCATGATATCATGATGACTATTAAATACATTTTAGTATCATGAATATAATAAAATGTACATAAGTAGAAATAATATATAGCATATTTTAAATTGTTAGATACTGTATTCAACAAGCATGGAATTTAAGATCAAATATCTATAAGAACATTATTACCTAAGTACCACCGATATTTTAAGTTGATTGTTTAAGTTGTATTTTTATTATATTTTTTATCTTTATTATTATTTTTATTGAACGTGTTTGATGGAACGTTGTCATCAGTGGCTTTATTTACCGAACCTTTAGTTCTGTAATGATTTTCGTATTTTCGTCGTGATTATCTATTATTTTCATTTCTGCGTTACGTCGTTCTTGTGTGGATTTAAAATTGCAACCTATTACAGTATTATAGCCCTAACGCCATTGATGGTGTGATTAGGTGAATTAAAATGTGCACTTACTGGGCAGTTGAGTGTCTTATAGATGATTTGTGGTTGTTCATTCTAGATCTGAAAGTGAGACCAGTATATAAGGTATATAATATTGGTCGAGTTACAATTCAGTCTGGTGGCAGCATTGTTATTTGTGTCCCTGGTAGAGTGAATGAGCTGTTTGTATTGATGATGTCGCATAATTGGCATCTAGCGCTGTTACATTGTGTGTTGCCATGTATCGGTTTAGTGGAGGGAGTAGGTTAAAGTGGACTTTAATAGGGGGGATGTAGGAAAAAATAGCCCCGGTGAGAATGGCCCCAAATGACAAGTAGGTGAAAATGGCCCCAATGAAAAAATTCAATAATAGAAATGACACAGAAACCATATATTTGAAAACTAAAATAACTTAGTTTTTAGCAGATTGATTAATCAATAGATTTTTTTTTGTAAAAAAAAATTATTTAATGTTCATATAAACCCATTTTTGCGGGGTTTAGCAATACCCCGATTGAATTTCTGGGAAAATGTGATTCCGCTTCCGTGAAATTGGCCACAAATAAATTATTTTAGTATTAATAAATTCAATTTATGATTAAAATTGTTGCTATTTTTTAACATTAAAATGGAAAAAAAATAAAAAGTGTTATTCATGGTATATTTTTTTATCTTTGAATATGTAATTCCTGCAAAAAGTAAAATATAAATGGCTATTTATTAGATGTTAGATTTTTTTGAAAACTAAATTATTTCAGTTTAAAAAAAATGCATATAATGATTTTAAAAAAATCAGTTTTAATACAGAATTTATTATTTGGGGCCAATTTTACCTACCAGTCATTTGGGGACATTTCTACCTGGGTCATTTTTACCGGGGCCATTTTACCGTACACCATTAGGAGGTTGCCTACGTGCGAGTAGAGGGGACTGTAAAAATAATTCTTTAATCGATGGGTCTTCTTGGAGGGAGAGGTAGTCTTTTTAAATTTTCTTAGACAGTTGTAGGGTATCATCAATATATCTAAAATAATATGATGGTTTCAATTCAAAACTCGATAACATCATGTTTTCTAGGTTAGCCATAAAAATGATGGCGTAACTAGGTGTCATCTTTGTTCGCATAGCAGTGCCATGCTGCCTATAGTAGCAGCCATTAAATTTAAAATGATTATGGGTTAATATGAATTCAATCATTGTAGATATATGATTCACTGATAGGTTGTACTGGATAAGTGCAAAGAAATTCTTCGCAAGCAGCAATACCTTCATTGTGAGGAATGTTCGTATATAATGAGCAAACGTCCATAGTGACTAGTAATGAGTCCGGATTCAAATTGGAATAGTTTAATTTTCTCAAAAAGTCTTTGGTATCCTGAACAAAACTCGGTATAAGTGGCAGTAATGGGTTAAGGATCGAGTCGACGAATCCAGAGATGCGTTCCGTGAGTGTGCCGTTGCCTGATACAATAGGCCGTCCTGGTGGGTTGATACTTAACGATTTCGCATGAAAATTAGTTCACTGGTTAGTGGTGCGGTCTGGTGAATTAAGACTATCTGCAACAAGTGTTGGCAACTTGTGTAACTTTGGTATTGTGTATAAGACTCCAGTCCTGGGATTAAGAGGAATTAATGATTTGGTTTTGACTTAGTGTCGGTTGTCAAATTAGCCACCATTTCTAAAGCTTCCTTTTTGTAGGTTTGTGTGTAACCAGAAAGTAGCTGTACATAGAAGTGTTCATCGGATAATTGTTTGTTAACTTCATCGATGTACCTACTCCTGTCCATTATGGTGATGGCACCACCCTTGTCGGCTTGTTTGATTACAATGTCCTTATTTTGGCGGAGATAACGCGTGGCTGTCCTTTTCTTTGATGTTAAGTTGTACGTTTGTTGAGTGGTTAATTTTTTTAAATAAATATATCTAGATGTGACTTAGCGGCCTTAGCAAAGCTATCAATGTATGGGTTCCTACCGGTCGGTGGTGTGAACTGATTACCGCTTGGTGGACTTTTGTAGGTTTTGAGTTAGTCAGTGGTCTCCGGCTTGTCTTTAAAACACTCCTTTAACCTAATTCTCGGGATGAATTGTTGAATGTCAGAGAGTACGGTAGGTTCACAACGTCAAGTTGTCGTGTGGGACAAAATGACAAGCACTTTTTAAGTACGGAGTGTTCATCTGATGTGAGAGAATAACTAGATAAATTGACAACATTGGTCAGTAAATCGAGCTTTGTTGATGTAAAGTTTCATTTAGGAAAACAACTGAATAGGTTGTTAATTATATTGTTGCATATATTGTGAAGGAGTGGGTCATTCTTAATTTAAAATTTTTTTCAAGCTTAGAATTGAGTCGGTTTCGAATAATTCCTTCTTGTACGTTAATTGTAATTAATTCGCCTATCAACTTGTCACTGAACACATATTTTGTGGTCCAATCAACTAATTCTATATTTAACTTGATTCCGATTGGTTAATACCCTTTATTATTCTTTATGTATGTGTAAGATCTCTAAATTTTTCTCACTTTAACGTTGATAAATATAGAAGGATCTATCGAAATATCCATATGATTTTGTTATAGTTTAATAAATGTGTGTTCCACAAGTCAACTTTTAATTATTGTACACCGTTCTTTCATTGTTTTTACATTATATATATATATATATATATATATCTGTCTCTTGTGTGTGTGTATGTGTGTATATGTATGTATATATAGAGAAAAAATAAAACAGCTTCAATAGTAGACTTTAGGAACACTGATTTATTAGTAACTCGGATATATGTATATATATGTATATATATGTATGTGTATATGTATGTATGTGTTTGTATATATATGTGTGTATATATGTATGTGTATATATGTATATATAGGCTATTTATATGTATATATATAATTTGTCATTGCAGGTTATCAATGAAGATTTCAAAGAACGTAAGTAACTTTACAATAAATTTTGATTTAAAAGAAACATCAGTGCTATTTACAATTTAAGTATGATATTTCAATACACCAGAAGATCATACAAGTTTCTTTATGTTCCCCAGATTTTTGGTACTTTTGTTAATTCTTTTTAAATGCTCCACATTTATGTTAGAAAGCTGGCAGTGGCGGATTCAAGGGTGTGGAGGAGGGGGAGGGTGGTGCAATTCCATGGGCCTAAACCCTTAATATAGTGGACTGTGTGTCTGTGCATCACAGAGATAATAATATAAAGTCCTGTCTAACCCCAAACGATGAGTTAGGTTTTTAACTTCGCATTTATCGTAAGCCAAACAAATATATCTTTTCTTTTAAATTTTTTTAAATTTTAAACCAACAAAATCAATCATTTACTTTAATAATATAATTTATTTATTATATTTTAATCAATTTAAATTTAATAATTTAATAATTATTATTTTACTCAGGATTGATAACAGCTTTCCATTACCACGATATATAAATGCAAACACTTTTTTTTAAACAATTGTAATAATGTTTGTCATTAAAATTCAGACGGCATTTACTTCATGGCACGTGACGATGGTTATGAAGATGCAGCTGAATCATGCAGTAATCATTTAGGATCCATTGCTTCTTACGAGCAGTTATACAACGCGTTTCAACCAAGTTTGGAGAACTGCAAAGAGGGTTGGCTTCTCAGTGGCGAGATTGCATTTACTGAACTAACCGACCCCTGCACGTTAAAACCACCAGAACAACGTAGCAATGTGTTTCCTTGTAAAGCATATCAGAGTGGGGCTTATTGTTACAGACAATATAACCAATCTGCTGATACATTCGACCACTTGCCAAAAACCCAACGAATCATTCGATTGACAGATAGTAATTGGAAAAAGTTAAATGCAGACGACGCTGAGTCCTGTTGCAGTACTAAATTCAATGGTCATCTTGCAACACCACTTGACGTTTATAATAACTCCCTTTCACTAGGAGTTAATCTTTGCGTATATGGATGGCTCTCAAAGATGCTGGCAGGTAATCCATGTGATGGACATACGCCACCAGACTTCTGGCTTTATCCGGCAGGTAATTATATTCGCTTCATGCCACTGACTAACGAATATCTGGCATTTTGCTTGGTTCCACTAGCAAACCAGACTTACATTGACCCTTTCCCTTCTCATCGTGTCGTGAATGGACGTGGAGAAAGTCGTTACTCTTTAAATTACTACGATGCTGATGCTCTCTGCAACAGCCGCGGCGGCAGAATGGCAACGAGAGCAGAAGTAGAATACGCATTGCAGTTGGGATATGATTGTTGTCAGATTGGCTGGGTCACCAGTTGGGAAGCTATTTACCCTATAGTAGAACCCAGAGACGGATGCTATTGTGGTGGTTTTCCTTCAATTTGCAATGCAGGTTTCAACGTTTATGCATCCGTCTACTGCTATATGCCGTAACAAAATATTTTCAATTAATATTTGGATAATTCCTATGCAGCTTAGTTTTGACTCGGCATTGTGATGCCAATGAGTGTTGGCCTACGGTCACATTTTTTGCTTTTGAATTCATGCAGGCTGTTAAGTCTTTTGTTTCATATTGCGCCTCCATGAAACGGTATCAGCTAGATTCCATTATTTACTGTTTTTCATACAATAATATAGGCATACATATTTTAGAAATAAGACCTACTTCTTTCATAAATATATATTATGCATTGAATTTTAAAAGAAGTAAGTAATAACTATTTTTAAATTTACAGTAATGCATTATCATACATCGTTTTGATATAGCTTTATTAAGTGTTGTAGTATAATAGACTTAGGCCTAAGATGTGAATATTACATTGGTATGTCTTTTCACTCATACTATACATTCTGCTCATGCAGTGGCGTAGGAGTATTGGAATTGCGGTATGGGCACCTAATAAATTTAGGCCTAACTTCTTTAAAGTACTGCTACTTAAATATCTCTAGAATTACAGTTGTTGCAATTGTTTAGGGTGGGTTCCGGCCCGTTGCCACCCTGGCGCTTTTAACCGTCTATTGCTATGTATGCCTTAAAAATATTTTCAGTTATTATTTGGATAACACCTTTGCAGGTAAGTTTCAACCATCATGCTCTGATAGGTGATGCCAATGCTCAATGATGTGAGTGTAGACCTACCGTCATTATTTTTTTTCTAATTTAAATTTCATCCAGCAATAAGTTACCATTAAAAATATGTAACAACTCTGCAAGAACCTGGATGGTAATAGCATGATTGATGGTTAATAATGCAAAAAAATATATATGTTGTGTTGCCCTCCGCGACCGATCGAAATTAAAAAAAAAAAAATCGGTCGGCATTTTTTTGTTATTTTGTTTAATGTTCTTTCACTCAAGTACAAATTCGAGAAATACCACTTCCGAAATTAACATTTAGAACATAAAATCTAAGACAGATACTTGGTTAGTATTTTTTTTCCGCGTCATTACTTTGAATACCGTATTTTTTGTTTGGCAAGCTTGCCATCGTACTGTTGTGGAACGAGGCCTTAGCTAGACTAGGGTCTTCATAAAACTAAAAACTACTACTAAAAAAAACCAAAACAAAAAAAACAAAAAAAAAAAAAAAAAAAAAAGAAAAACGACCGACCGATGATTTCGATTTTTTTTTTCTATTTAAGGGCAACAGGATATTTTTTTGGCCTAAATGCGATTAATTGCTGTTGGAAATGAAGAATGTAAATGTGAGACATTTGAAACGAATAGTAGGCCTACAATATTTCTTGATGCAGGAATTATAAATATTACTTTTCATTTTATTTCTTATATACATGACCACTGTATTCATCTATATACATGACTAAACTTAGTATTTCGCTATTTGCCTACATCAGCGGTAGCATAGACCTATCAGCTAAAAGTAACATAAGCAGTATTTCCTGATAATAGGAAGCTTTCGATTTGTGCGACGACGCGACGCTATAACGGAATCACTCATCCGTGACCGTCCTACCTGGCGACCTACGTTCTCTGCATACGTAGATTTAGACTTGCCACAAGTCTCTTATTTTTATTATTTTTCTCATTCTGGACAGCGCCACCAACGAGAAAGTTAATTTAGAGACAGACGGAATAAGCCTAATTCGAAAAAAAAGAAATCGAGTATGGGACGCCAATTAAATTAGGTATGGCGCGCATTAAGTGCAATAAAGAGTGAGTAACCTAAAATTAGGGCCTGGAACCCAGGCTAACGTAGATTTGGCCAAATTGCGTTCCAGAATTTACTCGACGAGGTGACCTTAACGTTCTGGCATGCGTAGATGACTTCTACTGACGTCATTACGTTCTACAAGGAAACAGTGAAATTAATTATTAATTAATTCTAATTTCGCTGTTCCCTGGTTCTACGTCCTACCGTCGTCGTGTAATCAAAATCTCCCTACTGACGTCGAAACATGTTTATTAGTAGCATGGGTGCTTTATTCATTTGTACTAATCAGGTTGTTATGATTGTCGTACATTGGTTTGTTTTGGTTTGTTTCTTGATGATTATTTCGTCAAATATAGGCCTATTTAGGTGTATTTCTATTCACGGATTGACTTAATTTAAAGTATTCATCGGTCGTAGAAATTGCCTCAGTAAACAAGAAAATATTAAATTTGTTTAAAAAAAATGCATTTTAGTATTTATTTGATTTTTCTAAATATTAACCAATATGTATAGGCTAATCGGGGAGCGAAGGTGAAGTGGTAATGTTCGATGGTTAAGTAAAGTAAGGGGCGCTAGCTGGCAAAAAATAAGTTTACTTGGGGGCATGCGAAAGGGCCTTTTTGTGAAAAAGGTGCGCACTCCCTGTACCCTCATCCGCCTCCTGATACCATGAATATTTTGTCTATTATAACTATGTATTGTGTATTATAACTATAACTATGTTTTGTATAAATTATAACTATGTACAGAAGGTAGTTTCTACTTTAGTAAATTGTATAAAATCATATGTATGCGCTTGAGTGTCGTCTAATTATTATATAATATTTGATTAGAACTGGTAATAGCAATATTTGATTATATTTATATTTAAGTGCAAAACTATTTCATTCAAAATAAAATTTAGCACAGGTATTTTTTATAAGTGGATATATACATACATATTAAGGATACAACAACGTTGTAATTTGAAATTAATTGTGCAAGATATTTGTGTGAGGTACGTCGCTAGAGGTTGAATCATGAATTAATTAGCGAAATAAGCTTTAAAATGGTCAGTAATAAGGCTGATATGATTTTAATTGTATTTAGCTTAGCGTAATAAGAATAAGGATTACTTTTATGGATAAGGCTGGTGGAGTAAACAGAAGAGGTTTACAAGAATAATAAATTATTATTGATCGTTGATTCAATGCTTAATAAATTTCGGCAAATTATAGACTATATATTTGTATTGTATTTGCGTAGAAAACATAGAACAAAAACTATACAATAAATAATTCAGAATAGTATATATATATATATATATATATATATATATTATATATATGTGTATGTATTGTCCCATGAAAATGACAACAAATCACCCAAAAAATAATTTTTAATATATAAATTGTTTACCCTGATTTTTATACTAGATATTGGTAATATTATTTGTCACTATAAAATTATAGATAAACATTTTTTTAAGTACGCTAATTGCTGTGTTCATGTTGATAATTTCTATGTTACTTCAAAATGGGCAAGTAAATTTCAAAAATGATTTTTTTTTGGTATTTTGCATGGGACAATATATCTTTAAGCAACCCTAGTCTCTACATTGACATATAATATATAAAAATTATGTTGTTTGCAACACTTTATATATAAACATATTTATTTTTGTGGAAAGAAGGTTCAAAGCAAATCATTCAAACCATTGAGAGCAAATTCACTGAAAGACAACTTGGAGAGACACGAATTTCGCCAACATCATCTTTTAAAATATTCATTATTTTTTGACATACACAAAAATTTAACTGGTCTATTTTGCAACAGTGCCACCAAAGTCTCGCAACTTTTCACTAGGATTGTTGTTTGCAAATATTTT